AGAGTAACAACTTTTAGAAAGCAGTAGCCTGTGTTGGGTACTTATTTTTAGCAGAGAAACATCAGTTAGGCTGTTAAAGAGAAAAGTTCTGTTGAGAATTCTAATGCTGTATTTTCTACTCTGCTTCTAACCCTATAATGACAAATATATTCCTGAGAAATAAAGCAGTAGAAGCAGTGTTTGTGTTGTGAGTTTATGTTTACATGCTATTCAACAAGCACAAATATAAGTGATGCTAGCAGCTATTTTCATCATGCCAGGGATTCCCCACCATGGGCTACATAGCTCTGGGATGGGGAAGGCTGCACAGAGTCATAGCATCATGGCTAAGAAGGGAGGAGGGGCAATAATCCTCATGTTCATGCAGATTTTTAACAGAGTATTATTAAAAATGCAACCATTGCAATGGGATACAGAAGGGCCCTCAAATATTTTCTATTAAGAACAAAAATAAATTATCTCATATCTTTGATTTGCTTCAGAATAATCTGAAGTGGGATGAATAAGTGAAGCACAGATAAAATAAGGTCGGTCATGAGATGATAATTATTAAAGCTGGGTGATGGATTCATGGAGGTTTGTTAGAGTCTCTTATTTTTTTTTTTTTTAATTTCCCCAAATAACAAGCTTAAAAATTATTATGCTGGCTGGGCATGGTGGCTCATGCCTGTAATCCAAGCACTTTGGAGGCCAAGGCGGGTGGATCACCTGAGGTCGGGAGTTCAAGACCAGCCTGATCAACATAGTGAAACCCCATCTTAAAAATATAATAGAAAAAAGAAAAGAAAAAAAATGATTATGCTTAGAAAGATTGGGGACCACTGCTTTTTTTACTTAACTATAAAGTAATTTTGCTTAAAAATCATTGCACTGGGCCGGGCGCGGTGGCTCACGCCTGTAATCCCAGCACTTTGGGAGGCCGAGGCAGGTGGATCATGGGTCGAGAGATAGAGACCATCCTGGCCAACATGGTGAAACCCTGTCTCTACTAAAAATACAAAAAATTAACCAGGCGTGGTGGCACATACCTGTAATTCCAGCTACTTGGGAGGCTGAGACAGGAGAATCACTTGAACCCAGGAGGCAGAGGTTGCTGTGAGCCAAGAATGCACCATTGCACTCCAGCCTGGGCAACAAGAGTGAAAGTCTGTCTCAAAAAAAAAAAAAAAAGATTCTTGCACTGGGTACCCAATTGATGACAAATATGAAAGTAATCAAGTTGTTAAAGCAAAGGTTAAAATGGCTTACTAAATGCTACATAAGAAATACAATGTCAATCTACTTACTAGATTGACAGATCTAGTTTTCACACTTAATCGAATTTTTATCTCACACCAAATATTGAAAAGGAAAAACATAGCATTTGTGTACCCATAATGGGTCATAGGATATACTGACTGAGAAAGACGTAAAAATTAAAATGCATTTCTCGCAATTACCTGTTACGCCCTTTTCCCTTTCTCCCCCTTTTTCCCTGTCTCTATTTTGCTATAATTCAGTGCTATTTACCTTAAGTTTGAAGATAATGACATGTTTCATAATTTAAGTGGAAAGCACAAATTAGAATACATCCTTTTGGGCTATTACTCACAATCATTTCGTCTGCGACAACTGTTCCACTTTTCTGCAGCCTTGGCAAACTCTTCAGAACAGCATTTCCTTCTTTTCATTCTGATGCAGAGTGATTGTTTGATGCTGATACAACATTGACTTTTCCCATAATTTAGCTTAGAGTGTTTTACACTGGGGAGTTCCAGTGTGTTTAAATTGTAAAACTTTTTCCGAGCAATTTTGTAGCAGAACTCCATGTTCTAATATCCGCAGCAAAGTTGTTTTTAATACTTCTCCACGAATTTTCATTAAGGTTTAATTCCATTTCAACTTTGTCAATTTTCCCCAAAGATCAATTAAGACACACAGAAAGATTGTCATTTCCTGTTTGACGTCTCATTCCTGGCAGTCTTTTTTATTTAGGCCTAAGCCATTCCATCAGGGTAAGTAACTTTCTAACTAGTCATTATGAGCAACTCCTGGGAAACTGTGATGCGGTCCCACATATCAGCCAGTGAGTTATGTTGGGATCAAAGATTGTGATCATATGTTTGTGTGTTCCTTTGTCATGTAAGTTATACTGTGGCTTATCACAGTGTGATTACTTTACATCAGCTTCTCACATTCTTATCTCTTGAATGATATGTATGGTGAGCTGACCAGAGGGTTTTAACATGTAGCAGAAGAATCTGACAGAAAACTATGGAGATTTTAGCTGAGATAGGAATATTTAAATTGGGCATGTTGGCTTTGGGGATGAATTGCCGTGATTTTGTGCTCTCAAGATATTGTTTTCTGCTTTCTTCAGTAGATTTTGAAGATAGTTTTAGAAATGTCTGCATTTCTTATGAAAATACTGGAGACACTGATGTGTTCCTGTAGCATAGCGAGTTTTCAATTTTCCTGCTCACATACAGCCTAATAGAATTTGAAAAATTTGGTGTGTCCCCTTGCACATTAACAGCGGAAAACTTTTATTATAAGTTCAAATAGTCGAGAGGATGTGATTTCCCTGGTGTTGTAAATATTCTACTTAAAAATATAACTGTTGCTCACTTTTTAAGTAATAACTAATGTAATCTAAATATTATGGCAATTCAATACTCCTACTATCCATTTGAAAACACATTATTAAGCTTTCTTTTATAGATATTTACATCACTTTCCCCCTTAAACTCACGTTTCTATCCCACTTTGCCAAGGAATTTTGTTCCAATATATGTTTATGCTTGAACAAATTCATGACCCTGTGTTTCACTTCAACAAAAACATTTATATGAATAAAACTTTATGTAATTAAAAAAATTATATAACATAATTTTTTTAAAAACTTCCCTGTAATCATGACACTCAGACTTTTAGAGGACTCATATTACAATTATTAGCAGTATATAATTGATCCAAATGATTTTAAAAATTGACAAAGAGTTATAATATTTGACAACTACGAGATTTAAGAAGTAAATGTAATTTTACTAGAAATACATCTGCTAACGAGATAAATGTGAAGGAAATTGGGCTTTTTAAATTTTTTTTTGTTTTTTGAGAAGGAGTCTTGCTCTGTCACCTAGGCTGGAATGCAGTGGGGCGATATCAGCTCACTACAACTTCCGCCTCCCGGGTTCAAGCAGATCTCCTGCCTCAACCTCCTGAGTAGCTGGGACTACAGGCACCCATCACCACACCCGGCTAATTTTTGTATTTTTAGTAGAGATGGGGTTTCACCATGTTGGTCAGGCTGGTCTCAAACTCCTGACCTTGTGATCCACCCACCTTTGCCTTCCAGAGTGCTGAGATTACAGGCATGAGCCACCACGCCCAGACCGGGCTTTTTCATTTTTTAAAATTCTGCTTCTTTTATTTTCTGTTGTTTTAGGGCTTCTGTTTTGCTTGACAATCAGTTTGTGTGTATCTATTCAGGAATAGTTATTACTGATTGCTGGAATGAGATAGTTTCAGCATCAATATAGTCCCTACTTTTTATTTTTATAGATGCATGTCCTGAGAAGTCTTACCCACATACTTAAGTAGATGGCACTGAAGATAGGCTTTTTTGTGTGTTTATTTTGGGGATGAAAATTTACTTAAACCCTGAATTGCTTCCAAGATACATATCCAAAGTCACTCAGTAATCTTTTATTAAAAAATTAAAGATTTTTTATTTTTATTTTTTATTTATTTTTGGAGATCTATCTGTGCAAAAGTTCATGAGGTCTCACACTTGGCTACTACTTCCTACTGCCTTTCTTCTAGACCCTCTTAAGTGAGAAACAGTTTCACCAAGACCTCCCAGGCCCCATGCTCCTCTCAGCCTGAATGCAGTTTCTTTCACTGCTGCTTCTCTGACTAGCCGGTCGCCAGGTGATCCATAAGCAACACATTCACAAACTGGCTCCTCTAACTGGAGAGGGGACCCTGCCCCAAGACAGCTATGGGTGCTTCTCAGTAACTAGTTGAGAGGAAGCCAAGCCCCAGATGCTGTTCCTACGGTGGTGTCACATTTCTCTGCCCTATCCTCACCTGTTAAATATAGATATTATTAATAGCAACCTCATATGGTTAACTCAATGTTCCGTTGAGATGCTATATGTAAAATTTTAAAATGTTATGCAAATGTTAGTAGCCCCATGTTGAGGATGTTTGAACTTTACCTGTCCCAACTTTGTTGATGTCATTAGATAAATTGGGTCTGCTCATAGAACATATGCTAAGACACATGCAAAAATATGGCCCAGCCATTCGGACCTGCATTTCATTCTCTGGCCACTTGGTTTCCCAGCAAGGATCTCATTAATCACCCAGGTCCGCCTTGTTTAGATGAGCATTTGGACGCTGAGCGGTTCTTACTTCAGTAGTATCTCTTTCAGGTAACCTTTGATACTTTCCCTCCTGCTCTATACACTACATAATAGTGGGCAAGACACACTCCTATCTTCTTTCTTGACCTCTTGCAGGCTGGACTAATCCCAGGCAAGCCCTCAATGGAGAATGGAAATTGGATAAATATAAACACAACTGGAGATACAATGAAGAAGAGAATTTTTTTTTTTTTTTTGAGATGGAGTCTCGCTCTGTCCCCAAGGCTGGAGTGTAGTGGCATGATCTTGGCTCACTGCAGCCTCTGCTTCCTGGGTTCAAGTGATTCTCCTGCCTCAGCCTCCCAAGTATCTGGGATTAGCAACCATGCCTGGCTAATTTTTATATTTTTAGTAGAGATGGAGTTTCACCATGTTGGTCAGGCTGGTCTTGAACTCCCAACCTTGTGATCCACCTGTCTAGACCTCCCAAAGAAGAGAATTTAAATAACTCAGCCTGTTCACTAAATAAATCTACATAATTTAAAATACTTAAAATAAGAAAGATTAAAGGAAAGTGACAAAAGGGATTTAACAAGGTATGATGCTTTCTTTAGGATATTGTTTATTTTTATTTTTATAAAAATATCCATTAGCAGTATTTGCATAGTGAAAAATTAGACAAGGCATACAATATTTAGCAAAAGCTTTATTATATCTTTTTCTATTTTTCTTTTTTTTTTTTTTAATTTTTTATTTGATTATAGGTTTTGGGGTACGTGAGCAGAGCATGCGAGACAGTTGCGTAGGTACACACATGGCAGTGTGCTTTGCTTTTCTTCTCCCCTTCACCCACATTTGGCATTTCTCCCCAGGCTATCCCTCCCCACCTCCCCCTCCCACTGGCCCTCCCCTTTTCCCCCCAATAGACCCCAGTGTTTAGTACTCCCCTTTCTGTGTCCATGTGTTCTCATTTTTCATCACCCACCTATGAGTGAGAATATGCGGTGTTTCATTTTCTGTTCTTGTGTCAGTTTGCTGAGGATGATGTTCTCCAGATTCATCCATGTCCCTACAAACGACATGAACTCATCATTTCTGATTGCTGCATAATATTCCATGGTGTATATGTGCCACATTTTTCTATTTTTCTTTATTTCAAATTTCATTTTGAAAGGTTTCAATTTATTGATCAGAAGTTTGCCTCAAATCAATGCTACACAGCAACTGTTGAAGTAATTTTAGTTATGTGGTATTAAGTTAAAAATTCCCCTCTAACCTGCATGTTCAATCAGCTTTCACAGGGAAATAGGATTTGATGACATTTAATACTGACTCTCTTGATACAAAGGGTTGGGAAAAGGTCATTGAGTCAGTTGACATTTGCTGTGTGCCCACTGAGAGTGTGACACACTGTAGTATTACTATGTAGTAAGTATTAAGTATGAAGCACTTCATGGATCTGAAGGGCTCCTCAAAAGTGAGACTTATTCAGTGAAAAAAAATTTTATATGCTTACTACTCAAAATCTGGTGAATCTTTTCACCTTTACTTACACTTGGGAGCTATGACATCAGAGAGAGCTATGACATCAAGGCAGTGATAAAGAAATAAGCCAGGAACATAAGGAATGGTATGGTAGGAGAACAGATATAATTAAATATAGGTAGCTCCAAATTAATTAGTGCAGTGCTAAGAATCTTCTGAATGCTCAGTTAGTGTTTGTTGATGAGGCCATTCACACACACATCCTTTCCTTCCCCAAATCTCTCTGCAAGCAGCACATTGAAGGTTGTCTGGGCTCTGAAGTCCATTTTATAATATTCTCTCTGCATATAAAGAAATACATTCTGAGGTCTGAGAATGTTCAAGAACTTTCAAACTCTTTTTTCACTTTTACAGTTCACATAAAATTTAACTTTTCTAAAAGTTTATAGACATGCTCATTTCATTTTAAATTTTTTTCTTCTTTCTTTTATTGTGATAACTATACATCATATAAAATTTACATTTTAACCATCTTTAAGTATATAATTCAGTGACATTAAGTAAATTCAGAATATTGCACTGCTTTTTTTTCAAGCTGAATAGGATTCTTAATGTGTTTGTGACAGAGATGAATGAAGTATTTGCTAAGAAACAATTGTAGTCAGCTTAACGAACATTCCATAATCACAGAATACTCAGTAGGGGACACAAATACGTGTCACATAGGAATTGAGTAGATCCAAAATATCATCCAAAGAGGCAGGAAAGCCCCATAACTGTTGTGTAATGTGCAGCATCAGATCTTTATTGGAACAGATTGTCTTTCAGCAGGCCAATAAAAATTTGGTATTGATGCATAATTAATGAACTGAAAAATGGATGAATGAGATTTCTCTCTAATTAATGTGCCCCTAATATCTGGCATGAAAGCAAAGCTATATTAATTAGTAGAGTGGGTGTTGTGTGTATGTGATTGTGAGTGGATGTGGTGTGTCTGTCTGTAGGGATAGTTTGTCATGTTTTATTTGCAGCCTGTTTCTTTCTCTGCTCTTATCCTTCTTCCTCATTTCCCACCTTCTCATCACTCCTTTTGTTCTCCTCAAAACTACCATTATGTTTTTATATGTGGATGAGGGAGAAGGATGACAGATTGAATGATTCCATTTTTAGATGGATATCTGAGCACACATGAGTTAATCAATATTTCATAATCTAGGTGATGAAAGCCTCTCCCTTTTTTTAAAGCATGAGGACATTATGCCTTGTGTGTGCAGCTTAACTGCTATTAAGGTTAATGAAAATCAGGCCGGCAAAGCCCCTTTCTTGAGTTGATAACATGCTCTAGTGTGCATCGTTGTCAATTATACATCAACTCTTAATCATCTTGGGAAGCAGGAGAGGCAAATCCTGCTGCTGAGCCAAAGCACCTCATGTAAGGATTATTGGACAGCATTAGGATCTGAACTTAAAATCTTCTTTATTTTCTTTGTAACTTATTCTTCTATTGTTAATTAAGTCAAATATTCCCGTAGGAAGTGAGCGAATGTGTGTGTGTGCTTGTAAATGGGGTGGGAAGGAAGTGAAAATAAAGAAACTTTAAAGGCAAAGAGAAAGAATATTTTTGCATTCATATTTTAGGACTACCAAAATGTGTAGCTTATTTTTCTAAAATCTTGCATCTGAATATTTGTCTGCAGATATAATATCTTCTATTAGGTATATAGTTCTGGTATTTTTAGTTCCAGGCATGAAATAACATCTATTGAAAGATTTACTCCTCATTTGGCTAGACATTTCTTCATTCAATAGATATTTATGAAATCTAGTATATGCCAGGTAATAAGTGCTGCAAAGGTAATTAAGCTTTACCATCAAGGGGCTCCTTGACTAAGAGAAAAACTGACATATAAACAGGTACTTAAAAATGTCTGAGCATTCAGTTTGGTAGAGCTTAAGTTCAAGCTCAAGACTGATGAAAGGAGAGGCTGGAGAGCTAGGGAGAGGCCATGCTGTGGAAAGCCTGTGTTCCATGTTGTGCCAGTCTAGTGAAGATGCTATAATGAACAATGGTTTGAAATAACACAAATGGACTTCACACTCCCTGACAATTTAGCACTAGCCTTCCAGACTGTGGCTCTACCTGGGGCACTGAGTCTTCTGCTAGATCTTCTGCATCTGCCTACATCCTGGAGAAGAGACAGAAGAGTTAGGCCTGAGTCCACCATGGAGTGGCACACATCAGTTCTTCCCCTGGTGATCATATGGCCCAGTTTATACCTGAATTTCAACACAACAATGAACAGTGTCCTCCTTTGCTCTTAACAGTGTCTCGGCTTGGGTAATAAATTATATGATCACACTAATTTCTCCCATATTCTACGGGTGAGAGTTCAATCACATGATCACACACCTACCTTAAAGGGATGCTGGGAAACCGATATGATCAAGAGGCGAAGGCAATGGATATAGTTGAATGCAAGGCATTTTCTGTTGCACATGTCAAGGGGTTTAAAACTTTATCCTCCATATCCATTGCCATTTGAACATGTTCACCTAAATACAAATATTTATTTGAAGTCTTCCAGTGTATTTTGCAAATTCATAGGGATCATGCATCCTGCTCCATATATGTGTGTTTTTCTTAAAATAAAAATAATGTATTTTCTTTCTTCAAAACTCTTTACAACTAAGTAGTACCCCAGGAATATTTTCCATTCTTTGTAGAAGAAAAGCTTTGCGTGCGTGTGCAAATCATGTATCTGCATATATAGAGATATCTAGCAGACTTGCAATGAAATATTAAAACATGCTTCTTTCTGGATGGTAGAATTGGAGGTGGCTTTTCCTTTTTCTCTATATTTTTCCATGTCATTTTGGAATTTTAAAATAGTTTTCATTAGTTAAATTAGTTTTTATTTTATTTTTATTTTCTTTTATATGAGGAGCCACCTCATATAGCATGGGCCGTATGAATATCCAACTTGGAACACACAGCACTGAACAAACAGGTAGAAGAATCGCCTGGCAAGATTTTCATTTTAAATAGGACATTTTGACAGCTGCATGGAGTGCAGATTCCAAAAGACAGAGACTGGGAGCAGGGAGACCAATCTAGACTGTTATAGGTACCTGGATGAAAGATTATAGAAGATCGGATGTAGGTTGGTGATAGGAGGAATGTCTGGAGATTAATCAGTAGAGCTAAACCAAACAAGCATTACTGATAAATTTGCCTATGCTAACACTAATGGTTTCTCTTCTGCAAAACATCATAAAATTACATTTAAAAAGGAAGGAACAAACTGGAGAAAAACACTTAGAAGACATGAATGATATGAAAGATGGGAAAGGTTGGCATCCTGAATATATTAAGAGCTCTTAACAATAAAAAAGCATCCTAATATAAAAATAAACACAGCAATTTATTCAAGAATAAATATGACCTCCAAAATCTTAAAACCTGACCAAAGATTTTTAAAAACTGGAAATAAAAATACAATCTTTATTATCATGTTAGTGAAGGTCACAGAATATAGGACAGATATATGTACAAAGTATTTGTCTTGGAACTGTTAATAACAATCAAAATTCAGAAAATAATTCCTTCAATGAAAGGTATGTTAATAAATTATTATAGATCCTCCTACTGGAATATTAGGTGATAATTTAAAATGATTACATGGATGTATAATATTGAAATAGAAAGCCGCCTGTGTATCACAATGCTTGTGACCTATTAAGTAAAAACTGGTTATCAAACTCCAAGCATAACATGCCCACTTTATGTAAAATTATTTGTATGTGTGTACAAAACATGTATCTGCATATATAGAAATATCTAGCAGACTTTCAATAAAATATTAAAACATGTTTATTTCTGGATGGTAGAATTGGCCATAGCTTTTCCTTTTTCTCTGTCTTTTTCCATATCATTTTGGAATTTAAAAATAGACATCATGCACTATATATATAATTTTTAAGTAAACAAAAATTTATTATTTTTGGGAAAAACAAAACCCAGTAGGTGTTTTTTAGTCCAAGGGTATAAAAAATTAGGAGGACTTGGTGGTTGATTGGTTGTAGAGAGCAAATGAGAAGGATTGGACAAGGATGACTTTCAGTTCTCTCATTCGTTGTAATAATTCACTGGCACTGAAAGAAAGACAGTTATCCTCTGTCTCCTATTCCTTTACCCTGTTGTCATTCCTTTTGCTTTGCAACTTTCTGCTCCTCCTAAGTCTGTCCCTGGACTCTCTGAAGTGTTTGTTCCAATATTAAAACCCTTCTGCATCCCTTACCTTATTCTACAATGCTATCTTCATGTTTTCCCTAACTGAATGGCCGAGGATTAGAGATGAGACATGGCACTGAAAATGACGGACTCAAATATTCTTATATCGGTACAGGTTGTTTCTATGACGGCAGCATATTATGAGGGTCCCAACCTAGCATCAGAGAAGATGGAAGATGGAACAGATTTGTAAGGGACTCAGTAACAAGTGGATCTACCTCAGGGTGTTCAAAGTAGCTGGGAGGTCCAGGGTTAGGATAAAGGTTGCCTACAGATTACAAAGTCTGGTAAGGATCAAGGCAGCCCTCATACTTTTCTGAACCGATTGTTCAGGGCAAGAGAGGAGGCACAATAGTGCGAGTAATGGCCAGTCCTAGTTAACAATCTAAGGAACTGCCAATTCATGATTTTTCCATATCACAATTTGCTTTGCAAACCAACAAGCCAAAATACCAAGCTATTCAGATAAAAGCATAAATGCCATCTGTGTAAATGTAAATACTGAACATAAGAGCTTTTCAATGATCAAGAGACATTAAAAATTAATGTCAGAGATATGTCCACTTCTTGAATCTTATTCTTTAGGGCCACCACTTCCCAGACACTATCTTTGTTTTTTTGTTGTTGTCATTGAGATCTTTGCCATTCAAGCCTGATTCATCCCAGCCTTCAAGAGCCAGGCATTTCTTTTTAGTTGTTTTGTTTTGTTGAATTATACTTTACGTTCTGGGATACATGTGCAGAATGTGCAGGTTTGTTACATAGGTAGACACATGCTGTGGTGGTTTGCTGCATCCATCACCCCGTCGTGTAAATTAAGCATTTCTCCTAATGCTACACCACCTCCTGACAGGCCCTGGTGTGTGATGTTCCCCTCCCTGTGTCCATGTGTTCTAATTGTTCAACTCCCACTTATGAGTGAGGACATACAGTGTGTGGTTTTCTGTTCCTGTGTTTGTTTGCTGAGAATGATGGTGTCCAGCTTTATCCATATCCCTGCAAAGGATATGAACTCATCTTTTTTTATGACTGCATAGTATTCCATGGTATATATATGCCACATTTTCTTTATCCAGTCTACCATTGATGGGCATTTGGGTTGGTTCCAAGTCTTTGCTATCTTGAACAGTGCTGCAATAAATATACATGTGCATGTCTCTTTATAGTGGAATGATTTATAATCCTTTGGGTATGTACCCAGTAATGGGATTGCTGGGTTAAATGATGTTTCTGGTTCTAGATCCTTGAGGAATTGCCACACTGTTTTCCACGATTGTTGAACTAATTTACACTCCCACCAACAGTGTAAAAGCATTCCTATTTCTCCACGTCTTCTCCAGCATCTGTGGTTTCCTGACTTCTTAATAATCACCATTTTAATTGGCATGAGATGGTATCTCATTGTGGTTTTGATTTGCATTTCTCTAATGACCAGCAATGATAAGCTTTTTCTTGTTTCTTGGCCACGTAAATATCTTCTTTTGAGAAGTGTCTGTTCATATTATTTGCCCACTTTTTGATGGGTTCTTTTTGTTTCTTGCAAATTGGTTTAAGTTCCTTGTAGATTCTGGATATTAGCCTTTTGTTAGATGGATATATTGCAAACATTTTCTCTCATTCTGTAGGTTACCTCTTCATTCTGATGATAGTTTCTTTTGCTGTGCAGAAACTCTTTAGTTTAATTCAATCCCATTTGCCAATTTTGGCTTTTGTTATCATAGCTTTAGGTGTTTTAATCATGAAGTCATTGCCCATGCCTATGTCCTGAGTGGTGTTGCCTAGGTTTACTTCTAGGTTGTTTATAGTTTTAGGTCTTACATTTAAGTCTTTAATCCATCTCGAGTTAATTTTTGTTTAAGGTATAAGAAAGGGATCCAGTTTTCAGGAAGAAGTCGAATCCCTGAATAGACCTATAACAAATTCTGAAACTGAGGCAGCAATTAATAGCCTACCAACCAAAAAAAGCCCAGGTCCAGATAGATTCATAGCCAAGTTCCAGCAGAGGTACAAAGGGGAGCTGGTACCATTCCTTCTGAAACTATTCCAAACAATAGAATAAGAGGGAATCCTCCCCAATTCTTTTTATGGGGCCAGCATCATCCTGATACTCAAACCTGGCAGAGACACAACAACAACAAAAAAGAAAATTTCAGGCCAATATCCCTGACGAACATCAATGCAAAAATCCTCAATAAAATACTGACAGACTGAATCCAGCAGCACATCAAAAAGCCTATCCAGCATGATCATGTTGGCTTCATCTCTGGGATGCAAAGCTGGTTCAACAGACGCAAATCAATAAATGTAATCCACCACATAAACAGAACCAAAGACAAAACCCACATGATTATCCCAGTCAATGCAGAGAAGGCCTTCGATAAAATTCAGCACCCTTCATGCTAAAACTCTCAGTAAACTAGGTATTGATGGAACCTATCTCAAAGTAGTAAGACCTCTTTATGACAAACCCACAGCCAATGTCATACTGGATGGGCAAAAGCTGGAAGCATTCCCTTTGAAAAGCAGCACAAGACAAGGATGCCCTCTCTCACCACTCCTATTCAATGTAGGATTGGAAGTTCTGGCCAGGGCAATCAGGCAAGAGAAAGAAATACAGGGTATTCAAATAGGAAGAGAGGAAGTCAAATTGTCTCCCTTTGCAGATGACATGATTGTCTATTTAGAAAACCCCATCGTCTCAGACCAAAATCTCCTTAAGCTGATAAGCAACTTCAGCCAAGTCTCAGGATACAAAGTCAATGTGCAAAAATCACAAGCATTCCTATACACCAATAACAAACAAAGAGCCAAATCATAAGGGAATTGCCATTCACAATTGCTACAAAGAGAATAAAATACCTAGGAATACAGCTTACAAGGGATGTGAAGGACCTCTTCAAGGAGAACTACAAACCACTGCTCAAGGTTATAAGAGAGGACACAAATGGAAAAGCATTCCATGCTCATGGTTAGGAAGAATCAATATTGTGAAAATGGCCATACCACCCAAAGCAATTTATAGATTCAGTGCTATCCCCATCAAGCTACCATTGACTTTATTCATAGAATCAGCAAAAACTACTTTAAATTTCGTATGGAACCAAAAAAGATCCCATATAACCAAGATAATCCCAAGCCAAAAAAAAAAAAGCTGGAGCCATCATGCCGCGTGACTTCAAACTATACTACAAGGCTTCAGTAACCAAACAGCAATGGTACTGGTACCAAAACAGAGATATAGACCAATAAAACAGAACAGAGGCTTCAGAAATAACAGCACACCTCTACAACCATTTGATCTTTGATAAACCTGACAAAAACAAGCAGTGGGAAAAGGATTCCCTATTTAATAAATGGTGTTGGGAAAACCGGCTAGCCTATGTAGAGCCAGGCATTTCTTAGTATGCGTTGAACTCATGCCAAACTATTGTTTCACACTATTATTGTCTAAAAGACAACGTGTACTAGAAATGTGAAACAGGAAATGTCCATCTGACCTTATCACAGTACAAGAAATTTTCCAGAGTCCATATGCTGATGTAATTATTTTAAAAATTATTTTTATTTTTTAAAGTGGTAGATCCTTAGAACAATTGTCTTTCGTGTCACAGATATAGCATATGGCGTATCATCTTCATCTCCCTTTTAGAGGAATAGTGCACTGTAATTGCTGCAGTCTGGTTTTACGTTATTTTCTAATTAGGTTTTAGGAGTTCTTTTTATTTACTTGGTTTGTTTGTGTGTGTGAAACATAACATATATATTTGTATGTCTTAACCTTTACTTTGTTTGGAAAGTCCTTAATTTATTTTACATAGAACGTTTTTCCTTTATCCACAAAGCTATGACCCATATAAGCTATTTCCTTCTGTTCCAGTACTGTGCTTATGTAATTTCCTATAAACAGCAGCAAACAATGTCAGTATACACTGGCTCTTGGTTCAGTGTCCTTGCAGTACTTACAATGGACATTTCTCAGCATAATTAATCTCTTTTCAAAATTTTGGGCCTATTTTTATCAGCACCAATACAATACTTTGAAATAAATGGAAATGCTGTATTCATTGAAGGGATAAGGATTAAAGCTGAAACTGAGTCTAGGGATGAGGTGATGAGGAAAAAAAACCCTCACAAATGTGGTGATTTTTTTTTTCTCCTTTGGAAGTGAAAAACAATGAGCTGTACTCTGTGAAAGAAAGGAAACGGTGCTGACAAGCTTTTCTCCAACCACTGTACACCTCTGGTTCAGAACCAGCAGAAGCCAATTAGTTATTTAGTTCATTAGCACATTTAAGTGTGAGATTTTATTTATATGCCCATCAAGAACTAGATATTCAGGCATAATTCAGGTCCTTTTTCATTTATAATGAGTCTCTTTCATTTGTAATTTCTCTTTTGATTTATAATCATTTTAATTCTTGTTTTATATTTGTTTTAATCCATGATCTTCTTTTTATCCTATATCTTATATATCTTTTAGTTGTCCTTTTTTCCATATAGTTTTACAGAATCCCAGAAATCCCTTTCTTTTGTTAAAATGCTATAACTAGTAGTAATATTTCTAATGCCAATTTAAACTTTTTTATTCTAGAATAATTTGTGCGGAATGAATTGTTAAGTGTATCTATAGAGAATGAATGATTGATATTCAGCCAAGGTTTCCCTATGTCTTTCCATGACCAAAAACAATAAAGTAAAAGGAAAAAAAAATCAGTTAGTCTGTTGTTTTATCTGTGTGGCTCTGAACAACCTATTTGTATATTTTGGGAAAATTTTTTTCTCATCGAATTACTGTGTATATTTATCATGTTCATTGATGGTTGAATTTTCACTGTATACCTATATGGTAAAAAATTTGGAAGGAGAAACTATTTTTTAATAGCCATTTTGGAAACAAGTGTCAGTGAGCATATTGTTTTAGGAAGAGGGGGATGGTGGGGACATTGGATTGAAAGGAAGTCCTATGTCAGAGGGCTCTGTGCACATTTTCCTGAAGTACCTCAGCTATGCTTAAATGTAATCTGTTATTTTAACCAATCATAATGGTTGCATTTTGCCTTTTCTCATAATGAATTATAAAATTGATAACTTATAAATATGGCAAAACTATATTTTTCAGGATGCCTCTCCCTTTTCTAACTCTAATAGATTGAATTTTGTGTCCAAAAACTTCAAAAGCTACCAGAGTATTGTGAAAGAAGAAACACTGTTGTCGAAGGCTGCTGATATTGCCTATTAGCCAGAAGAAAGAACCTGAATCATTCAAAGGTTTTCCATCTGGCAAAGAAGTCCAGAAGTACTGGACCGTCTGCCTAGATCTGCATGTGCTAAGTATCCAAGTAAGTTGGAGCAACATATCAACGGCAACCAGTGAAGAAATGAAAGGTAAAACTATAATGCAATGTATTTCTGTGCCTCATGTTGAAACGTCATATTCAAGAGCTAAAGGGACTTCATTTTTCTTCTCCTTCCCCAGCTTGTGTATTTCAGTTTTGTATTGAAATGTTCTTTGGGTTCATAAAATATTTAGGGGCTACATAAAGAAGAAAGACTTTGGAATCAAAGGCAAGCTTTGGAATCAAACACAGCTTCTGTTCAATGAAACTAGGAAATCAATATCTATCAAAGGCTCCGTGTTAATCGGTACCAATTTCTCACCACGTTTTGATTAGAAGAAAATCGAGCTGCAAACATTTAAGGATTTGTCTGACTGAATACTGACTTAAAGTTCTGATCTCTAATAATGTCAGGCATATTGTCTTGGTAAATTGTACAGGTGAGTTGTTAAAGATGAAAGCTTAAGTATTTATTGTTTGAATTACTTTAGAGAAAAAAATTGATATTTATTTTTCAGAATGAGGTATAATTGCTATATCAAAAATCCACAGAATGTGAAAGTATAAAGGAAAACTATCAGGTGATACTCAATTATTTTTATTCTAAAGATATAGGTAAAAATGTGAACAGATATATTGACATAAAATTCATAAAACATATGGATATATTAAAAACTAGAATCTCTGGGTGCCTCTGAGGATAATGATTGAGGATCTGTGGGTCAAGAATACTTTGCACAGCTGGAACTATTACAGTATTTGAATTTTTTCTTATATATGTATAACTTTTTGAAAAGAATGAGAAATGCTATAAAAATGCAACTATTTTTACTGTAGGTTTTTATTTCCATAAAATTATAAGTGAGTGTGTGGTCAATAGATCCTATTATATAGCTATAATATCCCTTGAATTTGTTTACCTGGTAACACTGGCTCATGTTTGTAAATCCTTTGGAACCCCCAAAACGATTTTGCATACATTACCTAATTTGTAAGATTACAAAACTATTATATTAGCTTTTCTGGTTTTCTTGTCTTCATACTCGGTTATCATACTAAACTGCAGTTTTTTTTTTGTTTTCATCATGTCACACACACACAATAGAAAACCAGCAGTTGTAATTTTCTTCAGCAGTGCTTAATGGAAGCTTATTTAATAGTTTAGTACTTTTCTTTCGTAAGTACTGGACCAAGCTGTAATGGAATTATATGACTCATGCTTTCAGAACAGAGTTTTCTGTTACTCATGTGTTTATCCTGATGACCATATGACCATATGAAGTTCTATCATGATTCTGTTGGATGTTACCTTTGTCTTATCCACTGAACTCAAGCCAGGGTTGGAGAGCTCAATAGCTGAGTCTGAGGGTAAATTAAAATACCAGTCAAAATTAAATGGACAGTGTGGAAGGGGAGTGAGCCTACAGGCTATTATGAGATTTGCCCCACCCAGTTTAATAAAACCCCTTCTCTGCTGATAGAACGAAGACCAGGTCAGAAACAAATTCACTCCCTTTCCTTCTGCTTGGCTTACTGGACTTGTAGACAGACCTAGATTTTCCTATTTTATTAATGGTGATGGAGCTGAATTTCTTACCAATAGAATTGTTATTTGACTTTAGCAACACTGATAAAACTGGTTCGTCAAACCATTTTTTATTGCAAAAGGCTTCATGGACAGTGACCTGCTGTGAGTTGGCTGACAGCTGAAGCGATGAACAATGCTGTTTAGTTCTGCCCATCATGCCTGCTGGAGACTAAGAATACCTTGACCAATAAGGAGGGTGGATCTTTGTTAGCCTTTCTGCATTATTTCTTCCAATTTAGTATTTAACCTCAGGAAAGAATCAATCTCATGTGGGTGGCTATTCATTGTAATATTTAAAGGAGCACAGTAGTCAAGGGTGACGGCTAGGAGTCAAACAGACTTGAATTCAAATTTCAGCTCCACCCCTTACCACACATGGGCACAGGGGCAAGTTACTTCACTTCTTTAACCATCAGTTTCCTCATTTGTAAGCTAAATCTTCTTAGAGTAAATTTTTTTCAAATGAATTAAGTGTTTAGTAGAGGGCCTATAGTGTAAGAGGCATTGAATAAAAAGTTATTGTTATAGTTACTAAAACTTTTTTTTTTTTGAGATGGAGTTTCACTCTTGTTATCCAGGCTAAAGTGCAATGGCGTGATTTCGGCTCACCGCAACCTCCACCTCCTGGGTTCAAGCAATTCTCCTGCCTCAGCCTCCCAAGTAGCTGGGACTACAGGCACGCACCACCATGCCCAGCTAATTTTTGTATTTTTAGTAGAGACGGGGTTTCACCATGTTGACCAGGATGGTCTCGATCTCTTGACCTCGTGATCCACCCACCTCGGCCTCCCAAAGTGCTGGGATTACAGGCTTGAGCCACCGCGCCCGGCCTTAACTAAAACTTTTTAATATGATTTATATAATTACTAAAACTTTTTGTATATGATTATAATAAACACATACAAAATTTCATGGCAAATACATGAAAACTGACTATTTGACTATTTGCTATCTCCCACTCCACTCCCCACCACTCCTTCCTAAGCCCACTCCAGTCAGGCAACCCACCAGTCCACTGATAACACACTTGACAAGGTCACCAGTGACATTCGCACTGCTAAATGCAGTGGCCAGTTCTTAGCTTTCATCTGAGTTGAGCACTCAGCAGCCTTTGGAAAAATTAATCTTACATTCTACTGCCTGCTCTTTTTTGTTTTCCTAATCTCTAAACATTGAAGGGCTCCAGGGCTCTGGCCTCTGGCCTCTTCTCTATCCACAACCCCTCCCTGGTGACCTCATCTAATCTTGGAGATTTACTATTATGTAGATGCTTCTGACTTCTCAAATATATATTTCCAGTTCACGTCTCGCCTATGAGTTCCAGATGTGTATATGCAACTGCCTGCTGGATTTCTACTTGAGTGTCTTAGATAATTTCTCAAACTTGGCTTGTGGAAAACTGAAAACCTCGATCTTCCTAAAAAGCTGTTTTTCTATCATTTAGTTCATCAGCTAAAAACTTTGGAGTTAGACATATGGAAAGCCCGTCCTAAGGGAAGAATCAGAGGAGAAGGGATACAAGACCCCAGGAGCACACCCAGCGCCTTAATATGCATGCTTCGTCTCTCTAAAATGGTGGAACCTGTTTGTTTACCTGTCTGTAGCAGACACAGGAGTTGTCCTCACACTGTGCGTCCTGACTTCCACAGGAATTTGAGTTGTAGCTGCAATGCAGCTACCAACCAGGGATACAGTTTCTCAGCCCCACGCCTTGCACCTACAGCTAAGTGTGGCCTTGTGACTGGTTTTCATCAATTAAGTATGAATAGAAACAAAGTGCACCACCTTCATTTGGAGGCTTCGAAGAAGCAAGGGTACCCTTCATTTGCTCTCTTTCGCCTTGTGCTGGGGGGATACAGATGACAATAAGGCCCTGGGTGATGATGCAGCCACAAGATGCAAAATGCCTCAGACCTGAATCACCACGTGGAAGAGAGAAGCCCACTGACCTAGAACATCCACCCTGGTCTATAGATGAACAAGAAATAAACTTCTATTATGTTTGAACATTGCAGATTTGGTTCCGTTATAGCAGTTTATCTTGCCCTGAGTAAACTGTTACCTGTCTTTCAAGAGATAGGCAAGTTTAGCCAGAGTGCCCTCCTTCCCCGAAAGTGATTTTTTTAATATATGTAATCTATATGTTAATTCATACTCTCCAAAGCATATCCACATCTATTCAACTATGCTTATGTATCAAGAGAAACCTCATACAAATAAATATAAAGGTTTTAAAAAAAGACACTTTGGAGTAATCCTTGACCCTGTCCTCTTTTCTCACACCCATATCTAAACCATCAAGAAATCTTGTTGATTCAGCCTTCAAAATCTACCCAGGACTTAAACACTAATCAACCTCTTCTCCTCTGTCAGTCTGTTCTCCTACATTTCATTTTAATCATCCTTAGAAACTCCTAACCAGTCTTAGTGCTTTCACCATTGTACTTCCAGACTCTTCTCAAATAGCAGCCAATGAGATCCTACGGCACTTCTGCTCAAAACCTGCAAATGGCTCCCTACTGCACTTAGGGTAAAACCAGGTGGGGCCTGCACAATCTGGCCTCACCTCCTATAGTTTTCCTCCTTGCTCATTCTGCCAGCCACACTGCTTTTCTTGCTTTTCCATGAACGTGCTAGACACACTCTCACGTTTGGGCTTTTGCACTTATTTCCCTTCCCAGAATACTCTCCTCGTGGATACGCACATCCAGCCCCTCATCTCCTTCAAATTTTAGTTCAAATGCCACTTTCTCAATGAGGGTTTCCTGATCAGCTTATTTAAACTTACAGTCTCCCCTTATCTAATGCCTTGTCTTTGCTTTACTTTTCTTCATAGTAATTACCACATCTGACTTACACTTGCTTGCCTTTCTTGTTTATTTTCTGTTTTCCCCACTCAAATGTAGTCCAGAAGGAAAGGGACTCTTGTGTCATTTGTTCATTCCTCTATCCCCTGGGCCTGAGCATGGCTTTGGGTAGACACCCAGTAGATGTTTGTTTAAATGGATAAATAAATGAATAAATGGCATTTACTACCTTATATGGTACTATAATATAAAAGCATACTATGCAGGGAATTAGGAATCTAGAAACTAGTTTTGACTCAGCCTCCTATGAACAAGGTTGTGTGGACAAGTCATTTCACCTCTCTGAGTCTCATTTTTCTAATATTTAAAATCTATCCTACAGAAGTGTAAAATGTTTAAATATAGATTAGCTTAGGGAATGCAGTCTCACGTGTGCACAATGAAAGAATTTCTACATACCTTCCATGTATCCACAATCAATGGTTTATCTAAAATTTGTCAGGAAAATTAAGTTCTATATGAGCAGATTTTTAAAAAAATTGTCACTGAAAGAGATATCCAAATAAGCCAAAACCTTCTCTAGAGACAGGATGCAATAGAGAAACTCTAGCAGAATTAGGTTCCGTGGGAAAGGCACTCTCGATGCCTTCCTCATATCCTTGCACTCATAATAGGGTTTGAATTAAAGAACAAGAAACAAAGCAGACTTGCATTTTTCGTCTTTAGCCAAGCTCCTCTGGTTTGCATAGTCACAACATCATTCAAATGACCGTTTTTGGAGTTTTTATTTAGAGTACCCTTTTTCTCAGCTGAGAGAAATGAATATCTGATGCTTTGTTTTTCCAAATTGTTTGAAAACTGAGTAATGCTATAAAGCTTTTTAAATGTTTTAGAGGTATAGCAAGTGAACTGTTTATAAGTTTCTGGGATTTTTGAAAATATTATTATTTTTTTTGAAGTGGAGTCTTGCTCTGTTGCCCAGGCTGGAGTGCAGTGGTGCAATCTTGACTCACTGCAACCTCTCCTGCCGAGGTTCAAGAGATTCTCATGCACCAGCCTCCCAGGTAGCTGGGACTACAGGCGTGCACCACTATGCCTGGCTAATTTTTTTTTTTTTTTTGTATTTTTAGTAGAGACGTGGTTTCATCATGTTGGCCAGTCTGACCTCAAGTAATCCGCCCACCCTGGCCTCCCAAACTGCTGGGATTACAGGTATGAGCCACTGCACCTGGCCTGAACATATTTTTTACATTCAATTTAATGATGATTTGTTCAGATTCCTTTTATATTATTTTCTAATGAATACCTCAATATTTCTCTTATATGCTGGTCACTTATCAGATGGATTCCCACTGAATGTTTTTTATTTGAGACAGAGTCTCCCTCTGTTTCCCAGGCTGGAGTGCAATGGCATGATCTCAGCTCACTGCAACTTCTGCCTCCTGGTTCAAGTGATTCTTCTGCCTCAGTCTCCCTAGTAGCTGGGATTACAGCCATGTGCCACCACACCCAGCAATTTTTGTATTTTTAGTAGAGACAGGGTTTTACCAGTTGGTCAGGCTGGTCTCGAACTCCTGACCTTCTGATTCTCCCGCCTTGGCCTCTCAAAGTGCTGGTATTACAGGTACGAGCCACCACGCCCTGCCCAATGAGGCTTGCTAGCTGTTATGCTCCACTTGATGATGAGCTTTATGGAGGCAGTCTTTATTCCTCCCATCTGCCTAGTATCTAGTATATCTCAACAAATATCAAACTAGGGAATAAGAAAATGAACATTTTCTACCTATTTAATATATTTGAATTTATTAGTCTTCCTCTGTTGTTCTTAATTAATTTGTTTGTTTTTTGAGACAGTCTCTCTTTGTCACCTAGGCTGGCATGCAGTGGCATGATCACAGCTTACCACAGCCTCAAACTCCCAGGCTCCAACAATCCTCCTGCCTCAGCCTCCTGAATAGCTAGGACTACAGGCATGCACCACCACACTTGGCTAATTTTTGTATTTTTCATAGGGAAGGAGTTTTGCCATGTTGCCCAGGCTGGTCTTGAACTCCTAAGTTCAAATGAACCACCCACCTTGGCCTCCCTAAGTGTTGGGATTATAAACATGAGCCACTGCGCCTGACCTCTGTTCTAATTTTTTGAATGTTAAAACTTTGAGAAAACAAGAGTTAGGGCAAAGGAATCAATCATTAGTGTGAACCAGCAACTAACAGAATGGGAAAAAGTTTTTGCATCTACCCATCTGACAAAGGGCTAATATCCAGAATCTACAAAAAACTAAAACAGATTTACAAGAAAAAAATAAAACCATTCAAAAATGGGCAAAGGATATGAAACAGACACTTTTCAAAAGAAGACATATATGAGGTCCATAAACATGAAAAAAATGCTTATCATCACTGGTCATTAGAGAAATGCAAATCAAAACCACATTGAGATAACATCTCACACCAGTTAGAATGGTGATCATTAAAAAAAATCTGGAGACAACTGATGCTGGAGAGGAAGTGGAGAAATAGGAACACTTTTACACTGTTGGTGGGAGTGTAAATTAGTTCAACCATTGTGGAAGACAGTGTGACAATTACTCAAGGATCTAGAAGGAGAAATTCCATTTGACCCAGCAATCCCATTACTGGGTATATACCCAAAGGATTATAAATTAATTTATTATAAAGACACATGCACATGTATGTTCATTGCAACACTGTTTACAATAGCAAAGACCTGGAACCAACCCAAATGCCCATCAACAATAGACCGGACAAGGAAAATGTGGCACATATACACCATGGAATACTATGCAGCCCTAAAAAACGATGAGTTTGTGTCCTTTGTAGGGACATGGATGAATCTGGAATCCATAATTCTCAGCAAACTGACACAAGAACAGAAAATCAAACACTGTATGTTCTCACTCATAGGTGCGTGTTGAACAATAAAGAACACAAGGATACAAGGAGGGAAGCATCACACATTGGGGTCTGTTGGGGAGGGCTAGGGGAGGAACGGTGGGGGGTAAGGAGGTTGGGGAGGGATAACATGGGGAGAAATGCCAGATATAGGTGATGGGGAAATGGAGGCAGCAAACCACCTTGCCATGTAAGTACCTATGCAACAACCCTGCATGATCTGCACATGTACTCCAGAACCTAAAGTGCAATTAAAAAAAAAAATTGAAAAATGTTTTGAAGATTTGCTACAATTTGAAAAAACTTGCAGACAAACTGAATAGCATAGCAATATTAAAAAAAAATTAAAGTTAGGGCCAGGCATGGTGGTTCACACTTATAATCCCAGCACTTTAGGAGGCTGAAGCAGAAGGATCATTTGAGCCTAGGAGTTTGAAACCAGCCTGAGCAGCATAGTGGTACCCCGTCGCTACAAAAAAAAAAAAAAGTAAAAATTAATAAGTTGTGGTGGCACTCCTGAAGTTCCAGCTACTCAGGAGTGGGAGAATCACTTGAGCCTGGGAGGTTTAGGCTGAGGCTGCCGTGAGCCTTGATTGCAAACACTGTCCTCTAGCCTGGGTGGCAGAATGAGACCATGTTTCAAAAAAAAAAAAAACCATAGAAATAGAAAAAGTTAGGTATGTCATGAATGCATAAATGTATAAATATATATGTAGCTACTATTTTATCATTTACTGTCATGAAATACTTGAGATAGCAAAACCAACCCATTCTCTTCCTCCTCCTTTTCAACCTACTCAACAGAAGGACAATGAGGATGAAGACCTTTATTATTATCCACTTCCACTTAATGAATTGTAAATATATTTTTCTTCCTTAGGATTTTCATAATAACGTTTTACTTTAGCTTACTTTATTGTAAGAATACAGTATACAATACATATATAATACATGTAATGTGCAAAATATGTGTTAATTGACTGTTTATGTCATTGGTAAGGCTTCTGGTCAACAGTAGGCTACTAGTAGTCAATTTTGGGGGGAGATAACAGTTACATATGGGTAATTGACCATGTGGAAGTTGGCACACCCAACACCCATGTTATTCAATGGATCCAAGGGTCAATTCTATTTCACTATTTTTATCTATTTTCAAGTTAATAATTGTTTTATGTATAAAGACAGCAGCTTTCTCATCATCAATATAATGTCAGTTATTCCATACTGATACTATTAATATGATAAATATACATTTATACATCAGATAACATAAAGTAGTCATTAAACAGCAAGGCAGTTCGGAAAAATTAATCTGGCCGGACTGAATAAAATAGACTAGAAGAAAGTAGGCTTAAAAGAGAAATATATTGGCTAGGACTCCATTGCCATTATCTAAACAAGAGTTAATGAGTTTCCCAACTAGGAAAGAAATAGAAGAAATGGAAAGAAGGGACAGTTTTTAAATGTAATAAAGGGAGAATTGATGCATTTGGATAACCCATTGAATGCAAGAAGCAAGAGAGATTATCATAATTATTAGATATTTCAGATAGAGGATAGTGTGGGCATGAAAGAGATGCCAAGATGGTAATGGGTAGTAGAAAGAAGGCCAAGGACAGTCTGTTGGCAAATATTTATTCTTGAAGATGTGCAGGAAGGTGAGAAGGAAGGAATGAACAGAGAGAGCTAAAGAGTAGCAAAAGAACAGTTTCACAAAAACAAGGATTTAAGGAAGTAGTGGGCAGCAATATTCAATGCTGCAGAAAAGGCTTTAGATTTTATGAGTAAGACGTCTTGTGACCTTTAAGAGCATAGGGTTCCATAGGGGTGAGGACAGAAATAAAATTTAAAAGGATTAAGGGATAAATGAAGAATAAGAAAATGTGACAGTATTTTTTCAAAATGAATAATCAAGCCGTGAAAAGATGTGGAGGTACCTCAAATGCATGCCACTAAGTAAAAGCAGCCCGTCTGAAAAGGCTGCATTACTGTATGATTCCAACTACATGACATTCTGGGAAAGGCAAGCCATAGAGACAATGAAAAGATCAACAGCTGCCGGGGGTTGCAGGGAGAAAAGGACGAACAGGCAGAGCACAGAGAATTTCTAGGGCAGTGAAACCAGTCAGTATTACACTATAATGGTAGGTACATATCATTAAACATTTGCCAAAACTTGTAAAATGTACAATATCAAGAGTCAACCCTGATGTAAACTATGGACTGAGTGGCTATGATGTGTCAGTGTAGTTCATTGGTTGAAACAAATGTACTCTAGTGGGAGATGTTAATAGCAGATGTTGATGCTGGGGAGGTTGTACACGCATGGGCTGGGAGAATACGGGAACCCTGCACTTTCCACTAATTTTGCTGTTAAGACTGCTCTAAAACATCAAGTCAATTTTAAAAAATGTACAACCATTTTTGTTAATATAAACTTCTGTATCACATACATGTATGCATTACTTTTACTGTATCATTTTATAGCCCTTAAAATTTTCAGCAAAATGTAAAAGCATATTTTTGTGCCCAATGAAATAAGTGGAGTAAAGTGATATTATTCAGCTAAATATATGATCAGTGTAAGAATTTAGTTACATTTCTGGAATGACAGAGTGGTGATTAATTTTCTGGTAAGTATTATGACTTAAGAATATTAGGTCTCTCTTCAGATGTCTATTGTATGTTTCAGTTATTTATTGGTGTGTACAACATACCACACTAAAACTTAGTAGCTTAAAACAGTCATTTATTGTTACATTTCATTTTTCTGGGGTTGATGAAGCTGAGCACTACTCAGTTTTGGGTTCTTCAAATGGTTGCAGAAATGCAACAGATGAGGCTAGAGTTATCTGAAAGCTTCTTTACTCACATGTCTGGCTCCTAGGCTAGGATAGCTAGAATACCTAAGGGCTGGTCAGGGATTTCTCTCTCTTTCGTCTCTCCACATAGCCATAGTGTGGCTTGGGCTTCAAACTGCATGGCATTTCAAGAGCAAGAATTCCAGGAGACTCAGGTAGAAGCTTCAAGGTGTGGGAAGTGTTGAAAGTCATGTAGCATCACTTCCACTATATTCTATTAGGCAAATCTGTCACAAATGAGCCCAGATTTAAGGGGATAGAGCAATAGATAGATACAGGGAGGAGAGAAATTGATGGTAGCCAACCTGAAAACAAGAAACAAGCTACCGCACTCTGTTTAGGGGATATTTGTAAAAACATACAGACACATATGCACAGACAAACACACATGCGCACACATACACACATGCAGATAAATACATTTATATGGAAAAAATAAGAATATTATTAATGTTCAAGTATACAATAATATGCAAAGGTAAAATCTTAGTAATTATGTAGAAAATAAGACTACTCCTAGAGGACTAATCAGAGACATTGTGTTTTTTTTTTGTTTTTTTTTAGTAAGATCAAGTAAGTCAT